TATATTTTTAAATATTAAAAGAAAGCATATGAAAAACAAATTATCAGGAAAAATTCGTATTATTGTTAAAATAATTTTTACATATACATACATTTTGGGATGGCAGGTACAACAAAAAATATAAAGGAATTAAATAATTTATTTGCATTAGTATTTATAACAAATATATATAGTAGTGTTTTTATAACAAAAGAACTTATAGTAAAGTGTATTAAAATTTAAAAAATGTACATTTTTTCGTTCTCTTAAAAATAAACTCGTAAATGTAAAGTGTATCAATTTAATTTATGTATTATGACTCATCTATACTTAGATTACATGACTACATGAATTAAAGAAATCATGCTATTTTTTCACAAAACTAAATGTGTTGTAGCCATATTGAAAAAGAAAACAAAACTTTTTGGCAGTTAAAAAACTTAGATTACATGACTACATTGAATTAAGAAAATACATTAGCTTAAATTTTTTCAAAAAAACTAAATGTGTTGTAGCCATATTGAAAAAGAAAACAAAACTTTTTGGCAGTTAAAAAACTTAGATTACATGACTACATGAATTAAAGAAATTATGCTTATTTTTTCAAAAAACTAAATGTGTTGTAGCCATATTGAAAAAGAAAACAAAACTTTTTGGCAGTTAAAACTAAATTGGCGTTATATCACTTTTCATCAATCACAGCACTTTTCATAATTAAACAAAAAATAAAATATATTTTTAATAAACATTTACAATAAATGATTTTAAAGTAAAAAATGAACGAAACATGAAAATAAACCTGATTTACCAGAATATTTGAAAAACAATGAAAGATTTTCATTATTTGTTTTTCAAATATTCTGTTAATTCGGAGAAAATTTTGTTACGTTCTTTTTGAACAGTTATCATAGTATCTACTGATTCACGCAATTTTTTTGATTCTTGAAGTTTTTCTTTTCCTATTGCTACTAAGTCTTTTCGAAAGACATCATAATTTCGTTTCTTTCCTCGTTCTTTCAATCTTTCAATTTTAGCACTTTTAATATTTTGACCAGTTGTGCTATTGGGAGTACTACATGAAGTTGTTGGATTGTCTTCGTCTGTCGACTCAAAGGAATTTGCAGTTACTAACATATCAGTAACTGCAGGTTCATTTAAGTCGACAGATAAATCTAATATTTCCGGGTTTATTGTTTTATCATTTTCTGTAATAACTCTCATACTGCTTAATGTATTATCCATTGAAATAGTTTTATCATGATTAAATATGTTGCAAAAGTTATCATAATACTCCCATGTTACCGTACCTCTTCCGGTACTTGTTTTCTTATTGTTATCGTGAATTTTTAAATAAGTTTTTTTTAAATTTCGAAATTTTTTATCTAAACTGTCAGTACTTATTTTATACCCATGTTTATCGAATATATTTTTTATTTCGCTCCATAACATTTTCTTTTTGATTGTAGGATTTCGAAATTTTTCTTTTCTCTTTTCATATTCTGTTAACAATAATCGAACTGCATCTTGTGTCCATGTAAAACTGTCATCTAAAAAGAAAAGATTTAAATATTAGGTCAAGTATCATAATTTCGTGTTTTGTTTTGGTAGGATTTTGAATATCGTTCTCGTGGAATACCAGGAGTGATTGGCGTTATTGATGGTTGCCACATTCCGATAATGCAACCATATAACAATCCGACAGATTATTATAACAGAAAAGCTTTCCATAGTGTCATTTTACAAGCCGTATGTGACAATAAAAGAAGATTTATAGATGTGCACATAGGTGTGCCAGGAAGATGTCACGACGCGCGAGTTTACCGAAATAGTCCTCTTTTCCAGAATATAATGTATCAAAATTTAATTCCGAACACAAATCATATAATTGGCGATGCAGCTTACCCGTTAAGTCGATTTTTAATAGTACCATATAAAGATAATGGTCACTTAACCGAAAGACAAAGCAGATATAATAAAAAATTAAGTTCTATTCGATCTACAATTGAACGAGCTTTTGCATTGTTAAAAGGAAAATTTAGGAAATTAAAATATTTGGAAATGTATAACTTAGACCTAATTAACTATGCAATTGCATCCGCATGCATCTTGCATAATCTTATATTAACAGAAGAAGGTGATTGTGATGATTATTTAGATGAAATAGAAGATGAAAACGATATTGAAAATGTTGCAATAGAAGATGAAAATGATCAAGGAAACGAAGCAATAAGAAATATAATCGATAGCGGTTATGAAAAAAGAAATAATATCGCAGAAATGTTATAAAAAAATGTATGACTTATAGGCCCATGACAAATTAGGTAAGATATTTTTATAAAGATATTTTTATAAGATAATTTTACTTACCATTTTCTTTTTCTGCAGATGGTGACTGGAACTCTAATTGCGAAGAGGCATCATGCACATATACCACATTAGAATCTACATAATACATAATAAAAAATTATTTTATGTATACATTAAAGTTATACAACCATGTAAAAGCAGATGTAAAACAAAAACTACGCTTTACTTATAGGTATATTTATAAGTACAAATAAAGTATATGTATATAATATTTTATATTATCTACTTAATTGTCTCTTAATTATATTCAAGTTTAGAATTATGCTTTTATTTACCATTTTTGTTTCCTATTACAGTCCTTCCTATTGAAGTCCTTTGCGGTTGAAATTCTAATTGCGCAGAATGTCCATCTATATACTGCGATGCAAAAGTAGCATCTATATAAATACATAATTTATGTTTAGTATATATTCAATTAGCATTTTTAGATTTTAATAAATTGATTTAATTAAATTATATATTTAACTTACCCTTTCGTAACTTTTCATGTATATCAGCTGTCTCTACTATATTGTAGATAACACCTTCAATAAGATATTGACTTTCTATGAAAGCCATTTTTTTCTATAAACAAATATTTTATTATTACACACTATTACACTAATCTATAATATCCATTTATGTATGTAATAATAAGTAAGGATAATGAGTACATATAATAGCTAGGTTGTAGGTTATTTATTTACAATTGTTACTTACATGGGAATTTTCGTCTTTCTTTATAAATTTTCGCGTTTTCCAGGACGTAATATCACACTTTTTATGGAAAATAATCGTTTCTTTATAGTTTTTCTAAAGAAGTTCTCGGAGAAAGGTTACTTCGAGAACCTCTGTAGCAAACTATAAAGAAAAGATTATTTTCCATAAAAAGTGTTAATATTACGTCCTGGAACGCGGAAATTTAT